AAATAGGTAATATTTTATTGTATACAAAAATAAAATACTTAAATTAGGTTTTTTCTAATAGATACAGTTATCAACTTTATTACTTTTTTTTATATAATTACATAATTTATTTAAAATAAAATATCTACTTATAGCACTGTAACTAATTATAGTTAAAATAAAACGAATACCATTGTATCACTGATAAAAAAAAGGTGCTATTTAAACAATAGAGCTAAAATAAAGATTAATTCAGTGAATTTATTATATTCTTACTTATTTTTAGTATTATTGTTAAAACGAATTTTTAACTGTAGTACTTAATATCAAAAAGAACCTAATTTTTCTTGATCTATCTCTTAAAAAAAAACTTTTTTTCTAAATAGCATGTACAATGTACATAGGCCGTTTTTCTTATGAAAGTTTCAATTAATTATTTTAAGTCTGTTACACAAAGCACTTCATAATTATTCAAATATAATGCAATTGTAATTTATTCAATTTAATGTCATAATTTTATGCTATTATGTCAAGGTATACATATACGAAATAATTCTCAGTCATCCATAAAATATATTATTAACTTATGAAAATATTATATATGACTTTTATGTTATCATWACATTTAATAGTTTGGTTTATCTATAAATATGATGGGTAACTTATTCCTTGTTTAACCTAGTCATATTTTTTTTATTAAATTATCTATTATAAGACTATTAAGTATCTACTTAAGTTTTACTCAGAAATTATTTAACATAAAATGTTTGTAAAACAGTAGTTATGTACACTCAAAAGTATCTATATTCTACAATCTAAAAACCACAAATGTCATCAGGGCCGAATGCTTTTACGGTTATCAGATCAAGAGACCACAATTTATTTTTTATTGTCTTAAGACATTTAATGAAGTAATTTTTTTTTTTAAAAAGCTTAAAAATATAAATAAGTACCTATAGTATATTAGTATGTAGTTTACTAGTACCTATAGTATTTTATATATACATGATAATAWAGACCTAAATACCGATACCAGTGATACCATCATCACTTGTTAAGCAGATTCCCCTTAGTGTAGACAACACGATGATGGTAAAATAAAGCAATATAGCAATCATGAAAACTAATATTCGATATGATTCATGGTATATATATGATGCAACTTTGTAAACATATATATAACTGAGCATTATGATTTTGTGGCTTGAGTGGCACTTAAAATAATTATTCTTTAATGTTAATGATAATTTTTTAGGGAATTTTAAATACTTTACTATGTCTAATTTATGATAGACGCCCTTAGTGCTCCCCTTGATACAATTTATAGCATAGTCATATTTAAATACTTACATGAATTATTTTAAATATAGGTATGCATAATTTTATTATCTTAGTTATTATATCTWAGTTAATAAATAAAACATATGTTGAAAATTAGTAAAGATCCAGATGATTTGAAAAAATGTTCGAGGCCGAGAAAATTGTTAAAGAATAATATTATCAATTTTGTTTTTATTCATAAACAGTAGAAACTTACCCATATCTATCTATAGTCATACCTATATGTATTTAAATTTTGCAAAACCATAAGCTTCTAATATATTTATTTTATATTATAATTACTTGTATAGGTAATCAAAAATAATGAAATTATTTAAAACTGAATAGTTTAATGTTGTAACTACGAGTAAATACAACTAGGTATACCTATACTAGGAAACTATAATAAATAGGCTAATAATACCTAATAAATAATAATAAACAAATTTCCATATCTTTCTAATTATTTATATCAGTGAAAATTTAAAATTTAAAAATATTGAGGAACTCTATAATTGCATAATTAACATAAAATATATCTAGTATCTATACCTAAATATTAAATGGTTATTTTTAATAAAACCCACATATATCGATATCCAATCTGCTATTACGTAACTCGTTACAATTTAATAATATTATCTACATATTGTTTTACATATTTTCTCTCTACCTCAGTT